GATGGGGGTTTAGAGCCTGGGAGATGATCAAAGCTGTCCTCTCTGCTCCCAAAGGGCTTCCTCTCAGTGCCACTCAAAGAGAACATCAGAGGCCTCACCGCTTCCTCACCACCCACCAGCGAGCTCCGAGGTCTGTGTCAGGACGCTTGTTCATCTAACCAGAGCCCCAGGACGGCTGCCGCTGCCTTTCCAGCCTTCCTCACCTCCACCGCACCACGCTCTGCCCCGGGGCTGCCTGGTGCTCTACTCACTTGGTGGCAGTGGAGTGGCTGGCGGACAACCAGGCTGACGCTGGAGATCCCCCGGAGGGACCATGACTGAAGGACTGGAATGGACAGCTGCCATTGCCTGATCCCACCACTTCTGCTAGTGGTTGGTGGGTCCTCACTTAAAAATTATACCCCCATCAAAGGCTCCAGGTTAGCTCTAACACTTCTAGGACATGAAACACAGGCTCATCTCTCCAAACACCTGGGTGATCCATGACATGATGCCCACGCTAACCCTGGGAGAACTGCTTGAGTAGCCCAGGAGCCAGCACAGATGTGGAAAAACCTTCCCCTTCCATGTCCAGAGCATGACATCAGCCCACAGCTCGTAAAGGGGGTGGAAAGCTGCGTACCGGACAGTAGGCTGACCTCGTAAAATGGGACCAGTACAATGAGTAGCTGCCCTGGAGTCCTGGGCCAGTCCCTACCGGCCTCAATAGCACCCTGCTACCTATTATCTCAGAAGGATGCTCGTTATAGAAAATCACGTCCCTCTGCCAAGTTCTCATGTCTCACTATTTTTGGAACAACACGAGCAGGCTCTGTGCCTCAGCAACTGTCAGCAGAGCCACATGGAGAGCAAATCCATATAACGATCAGGCTAGCAGGACAGTGCTGGAAACAGCATCGCCTGGGGGACAGTCCCCTGGAAGCACTCCTCAGTCATGAGAAAAGGGAGAAGGGCAATAAACATAAAAACCAAAAGCTATTTGACACTATTTGCATAGGAAGCTGATCTCCCCCAGCCCTTCTCATTCTCATGCATATGAGTGGAGACAAAAGAATTTAAAAGCAAACCACCTGTGCAGGAAGGATGGTTCCTAAACCCCAATGAAGACAGGACCTACTTACAGCAAACTCATTTTAATTAAAACATTCCAGGATCAGCATTCCTCAGGATTAAATTACTGATTTAGCTATTTATACATATAGCCTCTTTCACCCATTCTAGGACAGTATTGCTGAGGTGTTGGATGACACCAGTGTCAGGTAAATGGAAACAAGCATTTTTTGTGGTTTGTGACCCCTAACACAGGATCCACGGTTATCCACAGGTCAGACCCAGCACCTGTCAGCAATTCACAGATTACTGCAGCAGGAGCATAATCCCCTCTAACACTAAAGGATGATTTTAAGGCCCTAGAAAAAGCAGAGGTAAATGGCTTAGGCCACGTGCAAAGTTCCCAAATTAAAAAAAAAAAAAAAAGAATTAACTAAACAGAGATGTGGTAGGCAAGGAAGACCTCACACAGATGCAGCTGGAGCAGGACTTACACTGCCTCCCCTGAAAGGGAGCAGCAGGACTCCTTCCTTGCCTTTCACAGGAAAGGAATCTGGAGGTGCAAGTCCAAAATTGCCCAGCCCAGCCCAGCCCTGGGCACGCACAGGGCCACGTCCAGCCTCGGCCAGCCTGCTGTGCTGCTAGTATTTCCTCTTTAGGCTCTGAAAAGTGTAACCCAGACCAGACAGAGACAACCCTTGCAGCTCCTACCACTTCCTGGCTGCAATATTGCCAGAGCAAGGAGGTCAGGCACCCAGCTCACCCCTGGCAAATAAAGCAGCCCTTGCTAGCGGGTATCACTTGTGCTGCAACTGAGATGAAATTAAGACCACACTGAGCACAGAGGCAGCAGAAGAGAAGGAAAACCTTTCTGAAAACCATCAGCAGCTAACATAAGGACCGAAAAACCCCAGCTAGCTCTAAAAGAGGTGAGCAAAAGCAGCAGCAGTATAGATTCAGGCAATGCAATGCTGTGTCTGTGCCAGCTGAGCTAATGCTAGATTACTAGCACTACATGGCATCGCACTGTGCAGCACAGACATGCCCCAGGCTGTTTAAATCAGCCCTAGGCTGCGTAAGTCAGGAGAATGGTTTGGTTTGGGTGGAATATTATACAAGAGTCTGAATTCAAATGGCTCTAGATCCAGCCAAACCCTCAAACCCTTTGAACGCTCTGTTCTCACACTGCTGCAGCATTTCAGGTGTTTCCAAGCTCCTTCCTTTCCAGTTTCCACAATTTCCTTTTAAACTGGGAGGAGTGGGGCATAACTGGACACCCCTGTTCTAGGTGCAGCCTCACCAGTGCCAAGCAGAGGGGATAATGACTTCCTCTGAGCTCCTGAAGCAGCCAAGTACATAATTTGGGTTACACGCAATGACACTGAACTTGGAACTTCCATAAGCCCCAGGTATCTTCCAGCTCGGCTGCTACCCTGCCAGTTAGGCCCAGCCTGCCTTGACGCATCGTATGGGATCAGGCTCTGACTTTGCTTTGCTAAGAGGCTTCATAATGGATGGTTCTTGAAAAATTCCTAAAGGCAGGCCCAGTAGGTCACGATTTATCCACAATCTCCACTACAGACTGGAGTCACACTTTGTTTTTATAACATGAACTGTTAATACCACATTCTCATAGTTTGGGCTTTAAGTCTGATACATGCAATGTGGTTTCCGTGTGAGTGCAAGTGAAACTGGGTATTGTTTTGTGCAAACCTCCCCCCAGCTCCAAACACATGAAAGTGCTCTTGTATTTTTAAATATGGTTGCAGGCTGACATTTTGAGTAAGTGGTTACTCTCTTATATACATATATATGTATATGTATAAAAGATGTTAATGGAGGGGCTAACTCAGCGCCATGCAAAGAACACGCAGAAACCCCAAGTACTGTTTCAGCCCGGTTAAGCCCTCCTGGAAGGACTCTGTCCAATGAATACCCTGCTGTTGCAATTCCTTCTCTATTATAGCAAAGGGATTTAATTATGCTTTTATGAGCAATTTACATCTGGTTATTCTGGATTGAGGTGGGTGTCACTGGGTACAGAATACACACAAAAGATGCAATGAACCACATTTGTCTGAAATTTGCTTGTTCTTTTGCCAATGCTTCCCTTTTTGGTTTTGTTTATTATCAGGGGAAGTGTTTTTTTGTTACTGACAATCCAGATAATGAAGAAATGGGGGATTCAAGTAAAAGAGGAAGCTGGGAAAGACTGGAATTAGCAGGATTCTGCTGTGAGAAGCACCACTCTCTTGGCACCCTTTCAGAGACTGACCAGCTCTGCGTTCAGGGCAGCAAGGGCTGAGGGGTTCTTCACTCCTCTGACAAGCAGCCAGTCCAGAAATTCCTGTTCCAGGCTGCTCTAGTATTTAGCAACCTCCTTTTCATTTCCAGTCTAACTGTACCCATGGCCAGTCTAGACCCATTTAATCTAAGCCAGCATCTTCACAGCTTTGTTTCCCTCCTCAGTGTTCGACATCTGCAGACATCAATCAGATCCTCTTTTTGCTTTCAATTTGCTAGTCTAAACAGGCTGAGTTCTTCCCTTTTCTTCCCCTTTGCAAAAGATACTGCAATTACTTCATCGGCCCAGAAGACCTCGTCTGCACCCACAGCAGATTGCATTCATTTTTTGAACATGACGGGCGGGTACAAGCACAATGACCTTAAATCTTCCCTAAGTTTATGGGAAATACTCTACATGGTGTTTTACCATGTACACTGTAATTCAGTAAGCAAAGCCCTAGCAAAGAGCATAGCAATGAGTGGCAAAAACCACTGCTAGCCCACATCTGCCCTCAAACAGCACACATCAATGCTGGACTTCTCTGATACTTCACTTGAGAACTTCAGTAAAGCCATTCAAATTTGGGCCCTGTGGCTTCATATTATGAAATAGAAGAGGAGTTTCCTTGGTTACTAGTGACAATAGTGAGCTTTTAAGTTTTGTTTCTGCTATACAGCACAGCTGCTCTGTGATCCATGTAAGCTGCATATAAAAAAACCCCACCAAATCACCTCATTTTTATTACGTGAATCTACCCAAGGGCTCCTCCCTAAATGAGCACAATTCTTAAGCTACATAGCTGACTGTTGCACCACCCCAGTGAGAACAGAAACGGGTGGGTGGCAGGATGCATTTGTCTGCTTTTTTTTTCCCCTTAGTATTTTGGGTTTGTGTAGGAGGAGTAAAGCCACAACTGAAAGGGCAAGTTTCTCCTGCCTCTTCTAAGAGGAAAACAAGCTCTATTACCACTTAGCACCGGACAAAAAGCAAGTAGAAAGGAACCTAGGCAATATATAAGAGCTACACAGCAGAAAATGCTTTGGTCCTAATAACAGCTTAGCTCAGGGACTCCCAAACTTACCTTGCTGGGACATGGCCACTGCCTCCATCACAGCCACTCCTCCCTCCACCACCCACACCAGGAAGGAGCTCCCACCCACATGCACACACTGGAGGAGGCTCTAAGCAGACAGGCAGTGCATGTGCAGTCCCACTGAGGTACACACACCACAAGTGACTGAAATGCCGTAATTTGTCTTATCTACACAAGTACAGTCCTGTTAAAATTCAGGGAGCAGAGCCTGAGATCCCACAGCAACCGGAAGACACTGCAAGTCTGTAGACATTTGCAAATAGGCATTTGGAAACCAATTCAATGGCATAAAGATGTGTCTAGGGAAGGCACAAAGAAAGGCTTCCCTGATATTACCATATTGTTAGGGTGCTTAGAACACGCCAGGATTTTGTTTGCCAAATACCCAGCAGATGTTACAGGTGGAATAAAGCAGAGTGCTCTGGTCAAGCTTCAGCAGAGAAGTTTCTCCTGGGTCTAAGGTGCCCATTTATAGCAGGCCAGGGACCAAATACACAGGAAAGTGCCTCTGCCCTGAACATGCCAGCCAGTGTCAGAAGGAAGGCTGCCCACTGCCCAGGCTGTACTTACAGGAGTCTGGAAGCAACAGTAGAGCTTGGTGAGGAATGGGTGATTCCTTGCTAAGGAAAGGATGCGTTTCTCAGTCATGGTGCATTCAACATCGTCATCTTGGAGAATGACGTCCTTCTTCAACACCTTCACTGCGTAGAGCTGCCCACTCTCTTTCATCTTGGCAAGCATCACCTAAACCAAAGGGGCGGGTGAAGCGCAAAGGCTGAGCCCTCAGTCGCTGGGAGCAACACTAGAAATGTCAGTTACCTCATGACCAGGCTTGTGGGTGCAAGGGAGTCAGCCTGTTAGCACGGGCATCAGTGTGCAATTGATGACACACATGCTGATGTCCACAGCAAGCTTCTCTGGCTAGAAATGCCCATACACGTTGCTCCAGCCTCTGGCACGGGGCTAGCTGGTCAAGGCTCATCCACTGAGCCACAGCAAACCGCCTGAGCAGAGCCATCCATCCCACCTTCCCTTCTCGGTTATCAGATTCAAATACACCTTTCCACAGTGGCTTTGTGGCAAAGCAGAGAAACGAAGCCCCATCTCACTACATTTGACACCACTACTTTGTTTCCTTTAAAGGAGAAGTCTTTACATGCTGCAAGAAGTGCTGCCCAAACGAGTGCTAATGCACACACCTGCAATTTCTGGTATGGGCCCTGGCATGCATCTGTCCCCTTCCTTGCCAACTTCTTTTTCATGATATCCAATGCGTCACTTTGCTGCCATTTTGCTTTCTCTTCCCTTTTCTGCCCGCTCTCTATAACCAACCTTGTTGCACAAAGCATACTCCACTGGACAGCCTATGTGCCACGTAATGAAATAACTTCATCTGCCTTGGAGCTCCTTCAGTAAGGAATGTGGTTTTCCCCAAACGAGCCAGGAATAACTCACCTTTCCAAAACTGCCCTTCCCCAATACGCGAAGGAAGGTTAAGTCCTTGATCCCAAGTTTGCTCGCTGAACTTTCATTAACGCTGCTGCCATCCTTCAGGCTGCCTTTTCCCTTATGTCTCAAAGTAGATCTTGAAACCAGTTTCTGTGGAAGAATGTAAGTCATTATCAGTCTGCACAGAAATCGTACTTTTGCCTCAGACGTGTACACAAGTAGTCAACCTACCAACCTGGGCTTTTAGGACCTGCTCAGATGCCCTGTATGGCCACTGGAACAGAAAGCACGTTGGTTCTACCACCCTGCATAGCTGCTGCGCTGACGGCCCACCTCGGCACTGCGTAGAGCTGTGCTGAGACATCAGTGCTGGTTCCTGACCTGGGCAGTGCACGTTGTAAACCCGCTGCCCAGCAGATCCAAGAGACAAGCCTCCCTCTCTCCATCCTCACTCCCCAGAAAAATGAGACAATGAGTGTGGAAATCCAAGTCTCCTACTTAACATCGGAGCGAGGAGGACTGCTGAATTTCTGCAGCATGTGAAGTGCTGGTGAGATCCAGAACCTGAGCAGATTTCACCTGAATCTCCTAGGTTTCGACCTGTTTTTAAGACTCTTACTCAAAGTCCAGTCCAGTGGGACCCAAACTTCAGAATATTTTTCATTCCCACAGCTGGGCTGCTGGCTTCCTCCACTGCTGTAAATTCGACGAAAGGTTGTTCATTCCCATGCCAGCAGTGAGGTACCTGCATTTTCGGGAATTGTACCAGAGGTAGCACACAATTTTACAGCTCCTGTTTTTGCAGTATACGAAGATCAAGTCATCCTCCAGTGCCCTCTGCTCGCAGCTCTCCCGGTATGAGTATGCATGTAAACCACCCGTACTTTTACTCAGTTTATTGGCCTGAACAGAATCACACGGACTTCTTGAGCACCACCTTGTGACTACTTCGGTGTAAAGCAAAATTCTTCCTGCACAGAAGCCTTGTCTCATTGCAACCCCAGACGTGGGGATAGAACCAAGGGCATTCAGGACAGCACCCAGCAAAACTCCCACAGATTTAAGCTTACAGCACAGACTGAACACTTACCTAGAGCCTCTAGCTCACATATAGCGAGAAGAGACTGTTAAACACCAAACACAGATTTGTATTTTCCTGGTTCCATCTCTTTTTTGATGTGCAGATTATGCAAACGACAAATGCTAACAAGTGCTGTTTTTTACAGAACTGAGCAGGGAGTGTGGGACTGGTGTTTCCCTGGAACTCCCAGCGTAACTGTCCCCCTAAACTGCTACAGCATGAAGAGAGAAGGTAAGAAAGCCTCATTTGCTACAAACCAGCTGAAATCAAAAGGGGCAGCACTGCCTAATGAGCAGGCTAGGCTGATACTGTATGATGTGGTCAACCCATGCAGCTGACTAACCGTATGACAAGATTTATCCAGTCTAGCAAGTATGTTTTGGGTTTTAATATTTTCATTCTGGTCAAATAAAAATAAACAGACCAACATTTTGTTGCAGATTATTCTGGTTTCAAGCAAACTCACTTTTCAAAACTGCTACCAAAGGAAATGTGATGAAAACTTGTTATCAAATGACAGCTCTGACTTCCATTACCCTTTATGGGCATTTTCACTCAAGCTCTTACAGTGTTTTGAACCCTCTGAATAGACTCAAGATATACAACAGATGGATTTTTAGGATGCCTTAAGTACTGACAAGCAGAAATTGTACATGTGTCTCAACGCTGGCAACAAGCTCACTCAGACCCTGGCTTGGACAGGGAAGACCAGAGATGATGATGTGTTGACAGGGACCACAGATTCCAGCTGGGAAACTGTAGTGAGGAGTGAAACTCAGAAAGACACTGACAAAGCAGGAAGAGAATCCAGGCCTCTTGCTGAGCTCTTATGCTCTATTCCACACCATGTCTGCAGACAGTGCATTTGTGTTCACAGAAAAGATTAAAAAAAATAAAGTATGGCATGAAGTATATTGACCATTAACTAGTTAAGGGTCTTATTCTCCTCCCATTTCATGCCAAACAGGTAGAAGATTCAATGCAGTCACACCACTGTGGAACATAAGCAGACAACAAAGCAACACCCATAGACTAAAGCCTCTGACAAGCTAAACCTGGATACAAGACATCCATTTTCCAGGTGAAGTCTTCACCACAAGCCACGGACAGTAAGAACCTACTCGTGCAGTCTGCCGCCCAATGCTGTAACTGAAGTCTCCAACTTCTCCTGCACCCATACAAAGACTCAGTTGTAAATGTTTTAAACAGAGGAGGGGGAAAAATAAGGAAAGAAAGGAAAAGACTCACCGAATTTGGGGAAATGCTTCCAGGTTGCAGACCCATGCACGCCAAGGTTTTAGCAAGCTCTGCTGAATTCACCCCACAGTTCGGTGCAACGTTTGCTTGGCATCGGATGTGGACGTTCATTTTACAGACTGACAAGGGTGATGGTAGCATTGGAAAGTAAAAGCAAAGGAACAATTAAAGCAACTTGGAAGGATTTATTGCTGAGAAAAAAATTCAGCAATTCTGCTTCAGGACATATACCCATCTGGATCTACCCTGTGTCTTTAAACTGTAAGGTTTTTTTTGCCACTGACCTCAGCAGAAACAAAATTAGGACTCTCCTAAGAGAATAAACTCCTGAAAATCAGAAATATACCCCAAACTCTTCCAAGCAGGATGCCACGTTGCCTGAAGCTATTCATAAGCACACGCCTATCAGGTGTACAAATACCACTGCAAGCAGCTATACCTGCAGGTAAAATTAGGATTTATAATGCCACAGAATTCACAAACTTCCTCTGCACTTTAAAGAAATCCCTGAAATTTTAAAGATATGTTGTTCAGTGGGAAGTAAAATCTTTCCTGCTCTCACTCGTGGACACACATACACCCTCTTGTGGGAGATGAAGGCAAGTGGAAACTGTTAGCTACCCATAGATTTTACAGTCTGGATCACTGAAACAAATCTGTAACACCAGGACATGCTTTGTCATCAATGAACAGTGTGACAGACAAGCTAGATAAACTAAAGCAATGACCTTTTTCTTTTTTCCCCTCAGATGTTTTTTTGCTGCATTAGCTGAGGAAAAGCCTACAGGTGAAGGGAAAAATGAATGCAGGAGGCAATAATACCCAAGAATATTTTCTGTAATGCCAGTTAAACAAAGCTGTGCTGAGTGTACAAAGTACAGTCCTCCTGGAAGCCTGAGATTAAAAAGGCGATCAGCGTTTCTGTTAACTCTTGCAAAGATGAATATTCATTGCTTGGCTTTCTCTTGAAGCTTGAACAAACCAAGCCCACTCAGTGCATCAAGAGCCTAAAAATATATGTATTTTGCGAAAAGGCTGCAGTAAGAAGCCGCTCACTTTTACACTGTAGGCCCTGTCGCATGATCCCCCAGAGCAAGGAACCACAGTGGTCACAGAAAGTCGGGACTTTGTAGTTGTGGACGCTGAACTTGTGAGGAATGTTGATTCCAAACCTCTGTTCAGTCACCTGAGGCACCAAAAGAAAAGCACAGATTTAAAATTCAAATACACAGATATATACAAGCTGATGTTCATTTACATACAGGCATTTAAGTGCAAAACTATGGAAGTAATTCCAGCTTAGAAAATGTCCCGATCCATTACCTCACTGAGGTTTACTGAGTGACCAACCCCAGCTGCTGCGAGCCTGCTCTGCTTTGCTTGCCAGTCAGGCTGGACTACCTGACAAAGCAGATTTTAAAAAGGGCTGCCTAGCCGATTTTAAATTCTTAAAATCAAGCTAGAATTAGAAGTGTGGATTACCTCATCACAAACCTATCGCACTGAAGTACCACATATAAGTTGTGTTAGCTACAGCATTTTGTAACTAACCAGCTTTCAAATGATTAACTTGGATACTATGTGCAAACATGCAACTTTCGGTCAAACTGTTGATTTTATTAAATTTAACATAGAATAGTTTTCCCAGCTCCTCCTAAAAGTCTCATTCTTCTTCTCACCCTCGTTGTTATTAACAGTCTTTCATTTCAAGCCCACATTTCACTTTATCACTTGCTTTCATCCCATTTTAACCTTGTTCTTTTCCAACTCTGAATCATGCAGATCTCAAAGGCATCTTAGAAAATGTGAGATCAGCTGAAGAAACCCATCCCTATGAACCTCTACTTTCCATTTTTGTCTCAACATGCAGCTCCTGGAAGACCGAGGAGCCACCCACAACTTCACAAAGAAAAGACATGAGTTTAAAGCAAGCCGTGCCTCCTCACCTTTGTCTTCTTTTAAAGTCACTTAGAGGTGTTATAAACCCTTCACAATCCTGAAAAAGGGGTGAGGAGACTCACCATTTAGGTTGCACTTTAGCCTTAACCATTTTAACTTATTTTTCATCTGGTTTGGCAAGGGGTCATTTTAAGAAGTCTAGCTCAGCAGCTCAGGGGCAAGAAATAACCAGCAAAGGCAATTGCTTATCTGCACTGGAAAGGAGGTTTCTGCACGACACACAATACAGAGCTACCTCCTGACTGAAAACATTTCTGTTGAATTGTCCTCAAACGGTTATTAAATAATTTCCAGTTACAGAAGTGAGACACACAATGTGCAGGGCACTTTTAGGTGGGGATGTTACTCCCATCAAATACAGCCAAAACTAGCAAGAACGAAAACCTTCAGAAACACAAGTTAGGCAAGGGTTCTTTATTACAACATAAATAATTTCATAGAGTAAAGGTACGGAGCAATGACTAAATGGGCACTTTAAGTTACCAGCAAAGAAAAAATGAGGCATAACAAAGATCGGTGGTTGAATTTTAAAGCCAGAGAAATCCACATTAAGAACCGGGCACTAAATTTTCATGACAACACAGTTAATCATGCACGCAAATTACCAGGGAAGACAGTGGATTTGCTATTTCTTGTTGTCTTCCAATGAAGACACCCTGCCCTCCTAAACTATGTGCTAGTCCAACCAGTTACTGGTGTTAACAGAGGAACAACCAGATGGTATCGCGTGGCTTTTATACCTGTCGCTATCACTCTCACTTTTAAATTCATTAATATGGATATCACAGAGTAAATTTTGTTATAAGACAACCCCAGCAATCCAGACAACCTTGAAGATTCACAAATTATGATGACCCAAAATAACCAACATGACTTTACCTTGAGATCGGTCTTGTTAGTATTGTTTTGGCATGTGCAAGCTGTGACAATGAGATGATGGCAGCGCTTGTGTACCACACAGGTGCATACTAGGAAATAAAAGAGGCATGCTGAGAAGGGTTTTTGAAAGCCTCAGAACACATCAACCCATCAGCTGGGTTCTTTAAGGCTCATCTATATCATCAGGACACAGTGAAGATGTGAAAAATAACTGGTGGCTTGGAATTCCCAAAATCTTGTAACAGATTTAGAGATGCATCTCCAACCCACTGCGACCGAAATTCTGCACTGGATAATTCCTACAGCCTAGAAGACAGCTCCCTATATAAAATATGGGTGATTCACACAAGAAACAATAGTATAACTTCTCAAATGAACTGAAAAAATGCTGTTGAAATTATCCAGTGGAGAGTATTTCTCAAAACACACACAAACAGCATTAGAGAACACAGGCCTGAGATACCAAAAGTCATCCCTACATCTCAGTGGCACAGTGCATATTGAAATGAGTCCTGCCCAGGTTAGTCATTTGAGGCTCAGTGCACTGCTCGGGTCTGGGAAGCTGGATAACTGCAGCAGAATGGTGCTGCGTCTAAGATAATTAGCCTTCTTGATAGGGACTACCTAATCAGCCTTAAAGCAGAGTTGGGGTCTCCCCAGGTCTGAAGGTGTGAATGGACTTGAATGAACTTGAATTCCTCCACTCCATGACCCAGCATGGACTGTAGACACCCCCAAGGACCACAGCTACTGTCTATGTAAGGAGATTTTTTTAATGGCAACTGGAAGTTACAGATGTGTTGCAAGGTCCCACACTATTCTATTTGTGGACTCAAAGTTTGCACCCACAGGAATCTATCAGCAACTTCTACCTGAAGATTTTGTGCAGGAGAATCACTTCGTTTACATCCAGCTTCCTTTCATACAAGGACACCAGTGCCCTGTTATATTGCTCGAGAAACAGGCTGTGTTAGAAGGCTAAACTGAGTGACCATGCACCTGTGAAATGAGTAATTCTGCCATCTTACCATAGAAAAAGGGAAAGGCAGAACAATAATTAAGCCCCACATACAGCCATTCGGCCAAAACAAAGGTGCTGTGCCAGCCCACAACGCTGCCCTTCAAAGTCACAGCCCTAATTTCACTTTGTTGAACTACATAGGTAGAGGAAGGAAGAGGGTGGCCATTCCAGTAAGATGCTCTGTGTCCCAATACGAGCTGAACGATGCCCTGAAGGGACCCTGGATCTCTGAAGCCTAGCTGGGTGTTACATGTACTCAGCAACTCAGTGCATCTGCACAGGAGGAAAACTGTGGGTGAAACACAGCAACCGGACTTGTAGGTGTTTGCATGAACATAGGTGGTTGCTTCTGCACGCATGCAAGCCATCAGTCTGACAGCTGCTCCACTGCACAGCTCTGGCTGGCTGGGGAGGAAGAGGAGTGGTGACTTCAGAGAAGTGTGTAACTGCAGGACATCCCAGCAGCACAGGAGAGTGCTCCTGAGACAGCACATCCCCCACACACACCGTGCAGGAACAGAGCACCTTACCTTGGCACTGGTATCCCTGCTTCCCAAACACGCCCCTGTTCAAAATAAAATATGAACATAATTTAACATCAGAAATCCATTCTTCTTGCAGATTGTTTACAGAAGAGAGAGCCAAAATGCAAGAGGATCCCAGAGGACAAGATCCCTGGGGCAAAACTGCCCAGCAACGATGGTGCAATTCAGCACAGGGGTGTGAGAGCGTAGCATAGCACTACAAGGGTCGCAGCTTACAGGACGGGCTGTCAACATGCACGTTATTCCCCACAACCCCCTCACTCTGGTTTCTGAAATACCTCACTTTATTACAACATACACCACACTTATTAGCCCGATCCCAGCAGCCCACACCCTGTTATTATCTCTCCCACTCCACGCTCTTTTGAGACATATCTAAGTTTTTCTCCCTGTTCTGCCTACTCCCCCACACGTATCACCCCACATCTCTTATGGTTTTTCTGTTCTTAGGCATTTTCTTTAGTCTTTCAAGCAACTTTTTCTCAGTGTAATCTCAAAGCTCCACTCAAGTTAATATCTGGGGTCTTCCTTCAGATTTGCTTGGGTTACTTTTTCCCTCCCTGAAACAATACCTACACTCACAAGGGAGGAACACGGTGCCATCCCCACACCCTCCCAGTTTGCTTCCAGCATCCAAGGTGCACATTGCCTCTGGCCTCTCTGCAGACTCCAGTTTGCAGCACAAAAGTACCCTGCTCAACCTCACGGCTAAGGGCAGTCACAGCGATGGCCCTCGGTGAAGTGCTGGGTGACCGATTCAGGACCAGGGGCGGTATGTCGGTCCCCACAACGCGAAGGGATGGGAAGCTCCACACCACCACACCTGAGCTGTTCTTACCAGATGAACTCCCTGCAGTGCGAGCAGTATGTAGGTTGTCGCAGGTAGGTGGCCATGAATTTGTGCCCGTTCACCTGATGCACGCGCCTTCGCATTGCCCGCTGGCGTTTCCGAGTGAGGTTCTTAAAAATTCGATCCCTCTGGAGAGTCCCTGTGCAGAGGAAAAAAAGAAAAAAAATACGTACATGACCATGTACAGTTTTCACTCCTGGTTTTGCTATGGCACAAAACGCTTTCAAAGACCTCAATTACATCCCTGGTTTAGAAATCGGGGTACCACGCTCTAGAACATGGAAAACATCTGGGACAGGCAACAGAAGGAGTTAATTGCAAAGGCCCCTTTAGCTCAAAATTACATTTTTTTATCTAGAAATAACTGCCTCTTCCCATCATTCCCTCACTCGTCTCCCATGTTGAGACATGTCACTAACCCACTCACTTAATTCACAAGCTGCAAACAGTCCAGAAGCTCAAGACTAATGAGTTGTTATAACTCACAGCCTTTTGGGCAGTAACTCCCAAAAACATGACTGCGTGCAACCAACTGACCAGCCCTGCAGCCCCACTTGCCAAGCCAAAGCGATGCCTGGCTCGGTGGAGGGTGTTTATCCGCTTTCTCATGCTACACTTCAGTATTACCATTTGTATCAATTTTGCTTCCTGTATTGGATAAAAAGGCACAGCCTAATTTTTCAAGGACTGGTAGTTGTTTGATATGTGCCCCTCTCAGCCTTCCTGAAAGGGCTCAGTTTCCAAAGGGTAGGTGATATTTTAAAGTTGTGGGAAGCAGAGACCCAGTAACTGCTGGCATTCAAATCTGAATCATCTCAAAATCTAATTTAGTATTTTTTGTACTAGGTTTAGTTCAGCCATATAAAAATTTCCTAGCAAAGTTCAATTTACACAAAACAAGTCACTCTCAAAAGGCAGAGCTGAGCTCTGCATCAAGAAAGTCATTCCCAAACGACAGCATCCATCTGACCCAAATCACAGCCAGCTGGTCCCTGGGATGTTTGCGCAGACCAGGTCAGATGCAGCTGAGCGTCCCAGATCAAAGCCTCATCTGGGACACACTCGCCTCAGAAGAAGAAATTAAACTTGCAGTTTTCGAGCTAGTTGCCTTCTGAAGGACAGCATCAGGCCCTGCTCACAAGTGCCGTTTGGGGACACACAACGGAGTTTGCTAGAGGACTGTGCTCCCACGTACGTACTCCGGACTCTTGTTTTGGGCGCAGAGCGGATGCAAGATGAACGCTAGCTATTGCCAAGCCCTCTGCACAGATGTAATGACACAGGAAGGGACAGGCAGTCTGTAAACTTCCCACCCATCTGATCATCCCGGAGCAGTGGCTCAGCAGCAGTCCCCAAACACAGCTTTCCCCCTACCACTTCATTTACCTATAAAAAGGGGACAGCACATTTTCTGCTTTCAACTAGCTTTGTTGATTAACCACAGGGAGAAAAAAAAAAAAAAAGGAAAAAGCTGACAACCTGATCAAGGCTTGAAATGTCAGAGTCCCACATCACAGGCATACTTCCCAGTCCTCTTTGTAGGAGTGGAGATAAGGGAAGCCATCCTGTCAGTACTGAACCCAGCCACTTCAAAGGGCCGCAAGCCACACGATGTATTCCTCTCGGTACTCTTGCCACACAGGTTTAGAAGCAAAGCCAGCCACAAAGCTCATGCGATTTTTTTCTGGCTGTGTTCTCCCAGCCATTTGTGCATGCATCCCCTTCACAGGCACTAATGGAAACCTCCTACCTGATCTCATATCTGCAACATGGAGCACGGCTTGACTTTAGGACAGCTTGCATCCATTTTTAAAATGGAAGCACATGTTATAAATTAGGATTTTTCAATTAGGAAAAGAAAAACAACAACAAAAAAAGGATGTGGCAGGGCTGATCCAAGCACTTAACAGAAACCTGCTTTCTTCACTGCACAGCTTCAAGCAGCTGGGCAGAGAGACCGGCGCAGAAAAGCCTGCCTTTCTAGGGAAGTGCTTGAGTGGGTGTTTAATGCTCACTGAAGTCAACAGGACTCAGGGGACCGCAGGAATTACCAGACTGGATCAGAACGTTGGTCCATCTAGTGCAGCATCCTGCCTCTGTCAGTGGGCAACCAGAAACACATGACAGCAAGATGAAGGAACCCTGCAGCTGGGACATAATTTGCCTCTTTCCCACACACAAGATGTCATTTTGATCTCCAGAAGTGAGAGCTGATGTGCGGAGGTTTAATATCCCTTCCAAACACTCAATCATCATTGCACAATTTCAACAGGCTCATTATCCGCCACAGGAAACATGGTTGAGAAGAACTTCAAGAGGTCAGCCAGTTCATCCTTCTTCCCCAAAAGAGGAAGATGAAGAGCCAGTTTCTTCACTGAGCCCAAGCCTCCTGCAGCTCCATGTAAGAATTTAAAAAAAAAAAAAAAAATCCTTATAGTATTACAAAATTTGCCCACTCTTAAATTCAAGAGAGCATCTCCTTGATCTAGGTTTAAACATACGCTTTAAGTGTTTTCTTGGACCAGGGCCAAAAACCTCAACTGGCAAAGTATCCTGTCTTGGCGTTCAGGACGTACAGGAGAACTTCGAAGGCGTGGAAAGGGCAGAGCGGGGTTTGTGAGTGGGCAATGAGCACGTCAGTAAATCACCTGAAGAAGCAATCCAGTTACCAGCTCGCTCCATACCATCTGCTCCAGCAGCAGCCCAACAGCTGATGCACTTTCAGTTCACGCACTCACGTCTACCAGAGTTTAAGAGAGTATGTTCCCAATTTAGCTCATGTAGTTTCTGGATTAGTTACGGTTCCCCTCAAGGACCAGCATGGGGTAATTGCGCCCCCCCGGTGCTCTCCCATGCAGCGAGAAGCCCACACGCAGCCAAAAGCAAATCAGCCCTTTGCACCAGGAATAGGGGACACTGGTCCCGCAAAGCCACCGAGGGGGACACTGCTGTGCATCCCTGGGGTTCGCCTGCCTTCAGAGACCGCAATTCTGAAATGGTTCAGGAAGGCCAAATAACAACAGGCATTTGCTTTTTCTCATGGGCGGAAGGGAAGTTTTCATGCTGGCTCCACTGGTGGATCTCATTCATGGCCAGCCCTGAGCCTTTTCCTCTGAGCTGTACTTGGTTTCCCACTCCTGTTTTCCAGGCACTGGTATCTCATATGCAGTGTACCAGCTTCATCTTACAGACCCATTTTTCATTAAAATACATGCCAGAAGCTCTTTGCGACTTTGGGTTGCTTTTTTTAAAGCATCATTCATATTTAAAATGTTCCTCAAATCCCACATTTTCCCACGCTATGCTGCATTACCCTGCCAATTTCTCCAGATACTGCTTATCTTTCTGGTGATCCTCACCCATGCTTACATTCACCTCACATTACATGATAAGGAATCTAAGTGTTACTAAGAAGGAGACTGACTGCAGCAAGGTCTGGATTACTTTTCATATACAATCAGCTCTTTTGGGTACCGCTCCACCCATTACCTGATGCCGTCCCAAACAAAGAGGAAGGAGAGCACAGCGCAACTTCAGCCAGACCTCACACCCGGGCGTAGCCGCAGGAGACCATCTACCACTTGCTCCAGTAGATCTAGACATACAACCGCATCCCACAGAATAAATCCCTCTTTCAGAGGGCTTGGGCGCTCACCCATCCCACACACCACATCATGGAGCAGGCAAGCTCAACCCTCCAACAAGATGCAAGTGATTTTGAAATGGTGGAACGTATCGCTACCAAACCACCCTCCTACCCAACCACTGAGACGGCAGTTCCCCAACTCACACCCATCACATCTGGCCAATGCAGCAGCCCCTCGTGTCTCTCCCCTTTAGTGTCAGAGGATGTAAAGTCATCACAAAACATTTTACCGCTCGTGTTCTGCATTCTGGCCAATTCCCTATGGAACACCAACCACCCCCCTACCCAACCACCGAGACGGCAGTTCCCCGACTCACACCCATCACATCTGGCCAATGCAGCAGCCCCTCGTGTCTCTCCCCTTTAGTGTCAGAGGATGTAAAGTCATCACAAAACATTTTACCGCTCGTGTTCTGCATTCTGGCCAATTCCCTATGGAACATATATTTTTCCTTCTGCATGCAGAAAGCATTTTACAAAACAAAGCAGCTCTAGACCACTTTAGGAGACCCAGACTTTTAAAAGCCTCTAATCTTTAGTAAAGCAACAACCACCATGAATGGTTCAAGTGTCAAAATACTGCTATAAAAATGGTCAAGTAATTGCACAGTGAAGAGAGTTGTCCACATCCACGGTTAAATTTGGACGTCTGTAACTATGGGGTATTGACTGTGCCTGGATAAGTGCAAAAGTAACTACAAAGTTAAATACTAAAAAGCCTCTTACCCTTTCCTCCTCTCCACTCATGCCTAACACATGTTTATGGCAGTGGAAATTATGCATGCAGAGGGAGAGGAGAATAAATAACCCACCAAGTCATCTGAGGACATCTGCATGCACTAGCACACCGCGTACCCACTCAGCACCCTTACGCTGCCCTACCTGCCCTGTGAGCTGACCTGGTCCTGCCCTTCCTGGCCAGAGATTCCCCCTTTCTCTCTCCCCCATATTTTATTCTGGGGGGTATTTCAATTAAGTCCTCACAGTGGTGTAACCACAGCAGTAAGACACAGGAATTACTGCAGAATGAAGTGCTGTGTGTGTAACTATTTGTCTCAAGAAGTTAAAGCCTGTCAGGTCTCATCTACTGGAAAGCAATCTCACCATCGTGCTATCAACTGCTGCTGTAACACCGGCATGGAAAAAGGTCATAGAATCACATAGGTTGGAAAATACCCTTAAGAGCATCAAGTCCAACCATAAACCATGCACTGCCAAGTCCACCACTAAACCATGTCCCTAGGCACGACGTCTTAAATCCCACCAGGCATGATGACTCCACCACCTCCCTGCTCAGCCCGTTCCAATGTCTGACCTTCGGGTGAAGAAATTTTCCGTAATATCCAATCTAAACTGCCTCTGGCGCAACTTGAGGCCGTTTCCTCTTGTCCTGTCCCTTGGGAGAAGAGACCAACCCCCACCTCTCTGCACCCTCCTTTCAGGGAGCTGTAGAGAGTGATAAGGTGTCCCCTGAGCCTCCTCCAGGGTGAACA